CGTCTGCGCTCTGCTGCTGCTCTGCTGCTCTGCGCTCTGCTGCTGCTCTGCGCTCTGCTGCTGCTCTGCTGCTGCTCTGCTGTTGCTCTGCTGCTGCTGCTCTGCTGGCGCTGTGCTCTGCTGCAGTTGCTGCTGCTGCTCCTCCTGCTCCTGCTCCTCCTCGTCCTCCTCGTCCCCCTCGTCCTCCTCGTCCTCGTCCTCGTCGTCCTCCTCGTCCTCCTCCTCTTCGTCCTCCTCCTCCTCCTCCTCGCCCTCCTTGTGAAGCCGAAGCCGGAGTCATTCTAATTATAGATGATTGAAGCCGAAAAGTTATAATATGCCAAAAAGGTATTATAAGTATAGATGATTGAAGCAAAAGAGTTATAATATGCTAATAAGGTATTATGATATGCTAAACAACAAAATGGTACAATATGCAAAAAAGGTATTATAATATGACAAATTCAGGGGGTCAAAATCCAGAGGGTCATCATCAGAGCATATGATCTACGCCGCCAAGGTCAGCATCATGGCGAAGGCAGGCAGAAGATAAGCCGACGACCAGCAGGCAATACTACCAGAACGCGGAGTTCCACAGTTCGACGGCACATTGGGCTGTCGGGTGAAGCCTGGGATGAATTTGAGGATCTCACGGCGGGCGACCTGATCAAGCCTGGCGCGGCTACAGCGCTGCTCACACGCTTAAGGAAGCGATTCAAGATGGACACACGGACGGAGTTGGCAGATGACTTTGGGGAGTATTTCTACGAGTTACGACGTAATCGAGCAGAGACCCTGTTCAGCTATATATCGAGAGTTCGGGCGCCAGAGCGGAAGCTCAAGACGCATGATATCGAGCTGCCATCCAAGGTTCGGGGATGGCTGATTATACGACGAGGTGGTTACAGTTCAGACCAGAAGGCAGTCCTCATGTCCATCGTGGGCAAGGATATCACACAGGACAAAGTGATCGAGGCGCTGGAGGCGACATTCGGACAGGGGAGCACGGCACACGAGCCGAATCATGCACGGAAGCAGTACCACGTGGACGACGAGATAGGAGAGCACTACGAAGAAGATGCATACTATGGCCAAGACGACGAACTAGAGTTCGACGACGGCTACGAGCAGGAGTACTGGGCCGAGGACGGCGACGAGAGCTGGTACGACTGCGCGGAGGCCTACTATCAGCGGGACACGGCGACGATGCAGGGTTTCGACGTATCGGAGTACGACGAGGTCTACGCGGCCTACCACGACGCCCGCAAGCGCTTCAACGACTTGAAGTTTGCACGAGGCCATTACCCGGCTGCGGCGATGGTACCAGGCGCGACGGGATCATCAGCATCGGCAGCACCGAGGCGCCCTCCGAGCAAGGGCGGAGCCAAAGGACGCGGACGATCTCGAGGAGCTGGTAAGAAGGGCAGCCCAGGACGGAAGGGCTCACCACACTCGGCACCATCTCGCCCATTCAATCCGTATACGAGGCCAAGACCCACGGAGAGGGCGGATGCAGCTACGAGGCCAGCACCATCCAAGGCGACTTGTCTACGATGTGGCGGAGTCGGACACTGGGCGAAGGACTGCCCAGAACCACCGAAGAAGCGGCCCCACGGACAGATGGATCAAGAGATGATGGTGGACGAAGTGTACTTGTACTGGGGCGACCGCAAGACGGCCAGCATCATTCCCGCACAATTGGCGATCCTGGACGGCGGCGCGACTATGCTTATGTCAGGTTCGGAGACTATCAAAGAACACCTGACCACATGCCACGCCAGGGGCAACCCGATCGAGACGCTGGAGTTTCACGCGTGTCGGAGGCCATTCCGCTTCGGCAATGGCAAGGTGCAAGGTGGAGCACGCACTGTGGTGCGGCGTCATTCCAGCGAGCTTCAAGAGCAAGACGGGAACCCTGTACATCTACCTTGCTCCAGGGAAGACGCCAATGCTCTTCCCGCGGCCCCTGCTGGAGAAGTTCGCAGTGCAGGTCGACTTCGCGAATCAGCAGCTGGCGTGGAACGGGGGCAGCTACGAGGAGGCGCGCACGTCTCCGCAAGGCCATTACATGGTGGATCTGCTTGAGGACATGGACGACCAGACGAAGGACATTCAGTTGGACTTTGAGTACGAGCCGGTCGATTTCAAAGAGTTCATGGACGGCGATAGGATCACCAGCGGCCTGGAGTTTCTAGATGAAATCTACAAGGTCGCCAATGGCAGCAGCGACGATGGGGGGCAGTGGGAAGTTGCACGTCAGCGGGCGCACTAAGGTCAACTGCTGTGGCGAGTATATGAAGCAGTATCGGTGTCAGAATCATGCTTCCTGTGGCAACCTTTGCTTCGCAACGACGCCGATCCAGCCAGTCGGCCCGAACCTGCCAGAACCATGCTGGTGCCTGGCGGACGCCTACAGCGACGCGACGCAGCTCACCGAGCAGGACACCTACAGCAGCGACGATGGCGACAAGAGGCAGGTCACGACCAACTTCACTCAGAAGATCGACTCGGCGATCAAGCACGCGAGCGACCAGTGCATGCAGACGATGCGGCGCGCAGCGGCAAAGCGCTGCACCACGCGACGGACGGTCTGGGAGCTCTATGCAGGCGGAGCTAGGTTATCTCAGAGTCTACGCAACCTTGGAAGGGACGTCGAGACGTTCGGACTACACACGGGCTGGGACTTCGCGAAGGCTGAACACCGAGAGCGGTTCAAGCGCAAGCTACACGAAGAACAGCCCGACGAAGTACATCTCTCCCCGATGTGTGGACCGTGGTCCAACATGCAGGAGCTAAACATTCACCGACGCCCAGGTTGGAAGGAGTATCATATTGAGCTACGTGACTGGCACCATCGGGCACACCTGCAGTTCGTGGCGGACGTCTACCACTTCCAGTGCGAAGGTGGACGTCATGCTCACGTGGAACATCCAGCCACATCGAGGGCCTGGCAGACAAAAGCCTGGCCCAACCTACCGGGCTACAAAGCGACCTTCGACCAGAGCATGCGCGGTCTCACCCTACCAGGGGACGACGATCAGCCGGTCAAGAAGCCCACCACCATGAGGACCACCAAGAAGCTCATGGCGGCTATCATGAGCACGCGATGCGACAGGTGCCACCAGCACGCAGTACTGGAGGGCAACGTGGACTGCAGCGGCGTCAAGCGCACGAAGGTCACGGAGGACTACCCGTTCATCTTGGCAGCCACCCTGGCACAAGTTATGGTGGAGGCCGAGGTCGAGGAGATCTACAACGGCGAAGACGTCAGCAGCGGCAGCAACCCCACCTCGACGGACGAGACGGCGAAGGAGGAGGTTGTCCACGCGCACTCGCAGTTGCGCGAGAAATACGGCACCGAGGCGCTGCGCTACGTCAAGCGGCTACGCCAGAACATAGGACATCCCAACCCGACGGTACTACATCGTTTACTACAGCAAGCAGGAGCTCAGGAGAACGTGCTCAACTGAGCGTCTGAATATCGCTGCGAGCACTGCATGCAGCGGCAGCCCCCGCCGAAGGCACCCACAGCGTCAGCCAAGCAGCCGGCGAAGTTCAACGGGACCGTCTACACCGACGTGTTCTGGGTCAAGACAGCGACAGGCAAGACGGCCATCCTGTCGATGGTGGACGGCGCTGCCAGGTACTGTGCCCTACGGACAATCAAGACGGAGACGGCCGACGAACTGATGAAGGCGGTCGAGCGCGGCTGGATCAGGCAGTTCGGTCCCATGGGCGAGCTGCGTACCGACGACGGCTCAGGCTTCGCGTCGGACAAGTTCACGCAGTTCCTGGAACAACATGATATCAGTATTGTGACCGCATCAGGCGAGGCTCACTCGAGTCTCGGAGTGGTGGAGCGACGTCATCAGGTGGTTCGAGAGGCGATCGAGCTCTACTGCCAGGACGCCATTGAGCGTACGGCCAACACGGTGCTCGACGAGAAACTAATCACCGAGGCGTGCATCTACGTGCCCCACCAGGTCAACCGACTGGCGTTCACAAAAGGGTACTCACCATGCCAGCGGGCTCTGGGCATGGATCACACTACGACGATGACCAACTCCAGCGACAAGTTCTCACCAGCGACCCTGTGCCATATGAAGAAGGACGAGGACTTCAAGGACGTGCTGGAAAGGAGGTCTATGGCGGCGTTAGCTTTCATGAAGGCGGACGCCTAGGCCAAACTTCGACGCGCACTCCTACGACGACACGTGGCGCTCAAGCACGATTTGTCCATCGGCCAGCGGCGTTACTACTGGCGCGAGGGCAAGACTAACAAGCTGACCAAGAACAAGTGGAAGGGCCCCGCAGTCGCGGTGTTCAAGGAGATGCGCCAGGACGAGAGTGGACCACGCATCTACTGGATCGTTCACGGCGCGCAGCTGCTACGGTGTGCACCTGAACACGTTCGGCCAGACGCGAGCGATCAAGGGTGCGTTCTCCTCGAGAACCCGACCCAGGCCAAGGATGCACTGGGCAGCACGCGGAGGAAGGGCGCGACACAGTGCGACGACATCAGCTCACAGCAAACCCCGCTCGACGCACCGGTTGACTCGGACATGGGCGCCGATGACGACGCGGAGGACGGAGGCGGAGACGAAGGTCCAGCATCCAAGCGACGCCGAGGAGGAGGCCCTGCATCTAGGACGCCCCCCGTGGCGGAGGCACCTACAGAGGCATCGTCATCTGGGTCAGCGGCGGCAGCAGCCACGGCAACAGAGGAGGTACCACCAGCCACAGCAGCTCCAGCGGGGGATCTTCCTGACGCGGAGGCGCTGGAACCCGACGGCAGTCGACAGACGTTTAACTCTGGTCAGCCAGACCAGGAGCCGATGCCGACAACACCCCCACCAGGGCAAGAGCAGCCAGCAGCTCAACCGACATCACAGCCAACGCAGACAGCGCAGCCAGCAGCCTCATCGTCATCAGCGGTGGCAGCACCATCACCGGAGCAGGAGCTCGGATCGAAACAGACGCGGTCGAGGCCTATATCAAATCTTCAGAAACAGCGGTTCAGGATGGTCAAAGCAGAGGCGGCGATATACACCAGACCCGGAGGCGGAGTCTTCAGAGGCACTCTACCCGACCCTGGACTGAGCAGCGCAGTCCCAGCACCGGCCCTCGACGATGCTGTCGACGAACTTGCAGCTCTACAGCTTATGGTCACCAGTCAGGATTTGCCATTCGGCTGGGAGTTCGACGGCACGGATGCAAAGCTCAGCGACATCTTCGCGGACATCAGCACGAGGAACATGACGCCCCACGAGCGCGCGGCGTTCACGCAGGGCAAGCGGAAGGAGCTGACGGAGTTCTTCGGCAATGACGTCTGGGAGTTTCACAAGCCCACCGGGGAGGAGGACCCTCGGCGGATGCTCAAGGCGAAGTGGGTGCTCAAGTGGACAAAGAGCGACGACGGCACACCACGTGCCAAGGCGCGGCTGGCACTACAAGGTTTCAGCGACCCCGACGCACTCAGTGGCGCGGCACCGACGGCGTAACCTACAGCCTCGAGACTGGCAAGACAGATGGCGCTACTACTGGCGGCTAACAACGGCTGGAGACAATGGACAGCAGACGCAGCTACTGCATTTCTTCAAGGACGACCCCAAGAGCGTGAGTAATATGCGAAGGTGTCCAAAGACGCGGCAGAGCTCATGGGCATCGAGCCGAATACTCTTATGAAGCTCATCAGGCCAATGCACGGCCAGGTGGGCGCACCGAGGCGTTGGTGGCTACGTGCGGTGGACGACCTGAAGGCCAGCGGTCTCAAGCAGCATCCTTTGGACCACTGCGCGTTTCGCAGTTTCGATGAGGGCGGCAATAATGACGGGTTCACTCTACTCTATGTGGACGACATGCTGGGAGGTGGAGATCGGCGGCCGGGCAGTATTTATAGTCGAGCTATCTCACTGATTGCTTATCGGGGTCGGACGCTTAGGGGCCGCATAAGCCTCTGAAGGATTCTGAAACATTCTGGCGGTTTCTGACATATTCTGAAGCATTCTGGCAGAATGCCGCAAGATTCTGGCGCAATTTGCTTGGGCCCATCAGAACTCGTCGTCGTCGTTGTCGTCGTCGTCGTCGTCCGTCTTCGTCCGTCGTCGTCGTCGCCCGTCAACGTCGTCGTCATCCTCGCCCATCAACGTCGTCGTTCGTCGTCGTCGTCGTCAGTCGTCCGTCGTCGTCGTTGTCGTCCTCGTCTTCGCCTGTCCGTCGTCCGTCGTCGTCGTCGTTGTCGATTTCGACTCTCGTCGGTCGTGAGTCGTCGGTCGTGAGTCGTCCACGATCCGTCGTCCGTCGGCGTCGGCGTCGGCGCCGGCGTCGGCGCCGCCGCTGCCGTTGGTTTCGTCGTCGCTGCGTCGGCGGCGGTCGTCGTCGTCGTCTCCGTCGTCGTCGTGGCGGTGGCGGTCGTCGTCGTCGGGGCCCAATGCCCCCCAGGACGGCCCCGAGACCTCGAAACGCCCCTGGGCGCCCCCCCCCCCTAAAAAAAAAACACGAGGTTGGACGCGCCAGCAATGTATAATGGACACAGGCACCGTTACCATTGCAAGTCAGAAAAGCTTCTCGCAGGCGCCCGCGCAGGGCGCCCGCTACCATTACAGGTCAGACACACCAGCAGCGTATAATGCACGCGAAGAGCGCGCAGTCATCGCGCTGGGGCCTTGGGCTTCGGGCCAAAAAAGCTACGGCGGGGAGATGCGCTGGAAACTGGAAAGGGGGAAAAATCGAAAACCTGAGCCCTCGCTCCTCGGAGGCCCTCGAAAACCTTTGGTCTTTGCTCCTCGCTCCTCGGAGGGGGAAGCAGGAGGAGGGAGAAGGGGGGGGGGAGGGAGGGGGGTGGGGGAGAGGGAAGGGGGAGGGGGAGGAGGGTGGGGGGGTGGGGTTGGAGGAGAAGAAAGAGGGAGGAGGGAGGGAGGGGGGAGAGGGGGAGGGGGGGGGAGGAAGCGGCACACTTGCGCACTGCTTGCGCACTGCTCCAGCGCGTCGTCGGGGCCGGGGCCTCGGGCGCAATGCTCCGTGCGCACTGCTTGCGCGCTGCTCTGCGGGTCCGGGCTCGGGCCTGCACTCTCGCAGGCCCTCCCCCCCCCCCCCCCTCCCCCCCTCCCCCCCTCCCTCCCCCCCCCCCGTCCTCCTCCTATGGACCTCCTCCTCCTCCTCCTCCTCCTCCTCCTCCCCGCCCTCCCCGTCGTCGCCCCCCTCCTCCGCCGCAGTGCCCTACCGAACCACGCGTGGCTCAGTGGCATCGACCGCGCCGTCGCCCTCCAGCTCCAAGACCTCTTTGGCCAGGCGGCCCCTCTCATCATCCACGGAAGCCCAAGCCACCAGAATGTCGCGGCGCGCTTTCCGCTCCACCTGGTAGCCTAACGCGGGGGGGGGGGAGGAGGAGGAGGAGGAGGGGGAGGAGGAGGAGGAGGAGGAGGAGGAGGAGGAGGAAGAGGAGGAGGAGGAGGAGGAGGAGGAGGATGGGCAGGAGGAGGAGGAGGAGGAGAACGAGCAGGAACTAACGGTGGAGGAGGTGATGTAAGAAAGATGGCCATCGACTGGCCTGCGCTTTCGCAAGCCGCCTTCAGGGCGTCGTGCTCCGCCCGCGCGGCGACGCTATAGGGGCCCCCCTTCTCCCGGCATCCACAATTGCGGCCCCGCTCCACCCGCGGCATCAGCGCGCCCAGCGGCCCCCTCCCAGACGGGGGGCGGCGGATTTGGAGGACGGCTGCGGCTTGATCAGAGGCCAGGCTTCTATGAAGGCACGGGTGCGTTCGGAAGAACGCTGGGACATCCAAAAAGCTCGCGCCTTCTGAGAACCACCCTGGATTCCTAAGAGGGCCGCCCCTCTCGCACACCCCCCCGCGCGCGTCGACGAAAAGTAGGCAGCGCGAGCGCGCCCGCCCACGTCGCAGCCCGAAAAAATGGCACTAAAAAAGCGGTGGTGGGGAAACGGGATTGACGGAGCATTTGTTCCGAAAGCTCCTCCGCCGACCGCCAGCAAGGACAAGGCGCCTGCCCATCTTGCAACGCGAGGTCGGCGCGCGATGCGAGTCGCACTCGCACTGGGCGTTGATCTGCTCGATGGCCACCGACCGCATCAAAACCTGGGCCGAGACGGCCTCAAATAAACGTTATCGTTCTCCCCCCTCCTCCTCCCGCCTCCTCCCCCTCCTCCTCCTCCCCCCCCCCTCCTCCCTCATCCTCCCTCTTCCCCCCTCCTTCTCCCGCATTTGGGAAATGACGTCGGTGCCATGGCCGGCTCCCCCTCCAAGGTGGTGGGCGAGGCTCGTTGCCATTGGCCTCTTCTGTCGGTGCCATGGCCGGCCCCCCCTCCAAGGTGGTGGGCGAGGCTCTTTGCCATTGACCTCTTTTGTCGGTGCCATGGCCAGCTCCCCCTCCAAAGTGGTGGGCGAGGCTCTTTGCCATTGACCTGACATGTCCCCCTGGACATTGGGACGCAAACGAAACGAGCTACCTGGGACAAGCTCCTCCTCCTCCTCGAGCTACCTGGGACAAGCTCCTCCTCCTCCTCCTTCTCCTCCTCCTCCTCCTCCTCCTCCGCCCCCCACCTCCGCATCCTCATCCTCCTCCTCCGCCTCCGCCTCCGCCTCCGCCTCCGCCTCCGCCAACGCCTCCGCCTCCGCCTTCCTCTCACCCCCTTCCTCTCCCTCCTCCTCCTCTCCTCCTCCTCCTCCTCTTCCTCCTCTTCCTCCTCCTCCTCCTCCTCCTCCCATTATACCTCCTCCTCCTTTTCCTCCTCCTCCCCCTCTTCCTTTTCCTGTTCCTCCTTCCCTCCTCCTCCTCCTCCTCTTCCTTTCCCCCCCCCTTGGCCACCCCGTCATTTTGGGCGCCCCAAACAGGCGCCCCGCCAGGGGCGACCAAGGTCTTGTAGTCGCCCGCGGCGCGGCTCTCCCCCACCCCTCCTGCCGCCGCCGCGGGGGGCGGGGGCGCCGCCGCCAACCGCGCCCGCTTCCTAGGAGGATCTTCCTCTGCGGCCGGCGCTGCCGGAGGGCCCCCGACGGCCAGCACCGCAGCGTCGAAGGCCGCAGCCGCCGCGGCGGGGCCCTCGGCCTTCGACGCGCCGGAGGGAAGGAGGGAGGGGGGGAGGGGGGGGGGGGCGGAGGGAAGAAGGAAGGAGGGGGGGGGGCGGAGGAGGGAGGGGCAGCCCCCCAAGTGGACCACCGCTCAGGGCAGCCCCCTGAGTGCTGGCGGGGGCGCCAGACCCGCGGCCAGCGCGGGGGGAAGAGGGGCAGGGGGGAGGAGGGAGGAAGGGGTAGGGGGGGGTAGGGGGGAGGGAGCAGCAGCGAGGGGGAGGGGGGGGAGGAGGGAGGAAGGAGGAGAAGGAGGGAGGAGAAGGAGGTGGTAGGAGGAGGAGTAGGAGGAGGAGGAGAAAGAGGGAGGGGGGAGGAGGAGAGGAAGGAGGCGGAGGAGGAGGAGCCTGAGGAGGGGGAGGAACCTCTTCTTCCTCGAACAACCCCTCGTAGAAGTCGCTGAGGTCGGTGCCCCCGCCCGCTGCAGGGGGCGCGGCGGCCCCCGCAGGGGCGCCAGGGGCCGCGGCAGCAAGGGCCGCGGCAGGGCCGCGGCAGCAACGGGCTCAGCCGCGGCAGCAGGAGCAACGGCAGGGGCCGCTGCCGCGCGCCCTCGGCCGCGACCGCGACCGCGACCGCGACCGCGAGCGCGGCGGACGGCGGCCCCCGCCTGGCGGGCCTTCTGCAGTTTCGCGCGGGAAGCCCGGGCTTTCGCCTTCTTGAGGGCCGCCGCGACATCACCGAACTCCTTCTCGTTGGAAGGGTCGTTGGTCACGGCGACCATGACCTGTCGGAAACGCAACAACAATGCAACCGCAGCGCATACAGACAAAATCTCTAATAAGGACGGGAGGTAAGGACGCAAGACCCTTGGATACTGGAGGAGGAGAAGGAGGAGGGGGAGGGGGGGGAGAAGGAGGAAGGGGGAGGAGGAGAGGAAGATCACCATATCCATGGCCCTGTGCTTCATGGACGCGCGCTTCACTGCGCTGAACCTCTCCCCGATGATGGACCTCACCAGGTCCAACCTGAGCTGCGCGGCGCGGGCGTTCTCGTGGCCCCCGCCCCAGGACGTCGTGTTCTTCGGGGGCTCCCTGCTGTCAATATCCTACGGCGGAGATAATGGATAAGGAACGAGGAACCCAGGGTCTCGCGACCAATGGGCGGCACGACGCGGGCCACCCACCTCGCCTCGCAGCAAGAAGGAATGCGCCAGGGTCTGGCCCCTCGGAAGACATTCCTTATCCAATGCCCCCGCCGCATCGTGGGCGCTCTGAGAACAGTAGCCTGGCGAAGGACCCAACCACACTCAAGACGCACGCAGGCTGAAACACAAACGTTCAACGCCAACGTTGCATCCTGGGCCTCACCATGGGTCGGTGCATTCATACTCCACGAGATTCCCCTGCGCAGCGCTCACACCGCACACGTGACCCACCAGTGGGCCCCGCAATTGGTTCGCTTGCACTGTGGGCCCCGCAATGGCTTGGTGCATTCGCACTCCAAACGGCCCCCCTGTGTAGCGCGCACAGCGCAGGCGACCCACCAGGGGGATTCACCAAACAACTGATAGCACTGGTCCGACAGAGCTGCTTGCACAAAGCCTGTCGGTACAATGTGAGAGAGAGCGAATGGGTCAGGCAAAGTCCGTAGTTGTTCTGGCCGGCACGGCCGGAAGTAAAACTTTACAGCATGACGTGTAAGCTGGAGGCCCCAGCAAGTGCGCCGACCGAACCGAAGAATGGTCCGACAGAGCTGCTTGCACAAGCCTGTCGGTACAATGTCGGAAACCGACCACTTTCGCTCGAAAGTGGTCGGTTTTCGTTTTCCCTCCGTCACCTGGCCCGCCTCCTCATCTGAGGAGGCGGGCCAGGCGGCCGAACCCTGACCTCAGGGCTT